ATGTTTGCTTTAGGAGTGGTTTGAGTTTTGGCGTAGTGCAACAGTACTTACATTTTGAGAGGTCTTGGTTCCCTAAGTATTCTTCCCATTCGTTTTACCTATAGGGATTTTTTAAAAGCCTATTTTACAGAGTTATAAGCCATGAAACCAAACCAGCCAGCTACAAGGCGAATCACAATTTTACAAACTTTAATTTGAAGCAAAAAACTATTTGAAAATTGGACAAAAAAACAAAAGGTACAAGATTATTTTGTACTTTACTTTATCGAGGGAAAGAACTTCAACCCCACAAGCATTGCAACAAGGCATAATCAAATAAAAACGATTGAGAAATATCGTTAATTATATATACATATTAAAACAATATATTTTATGTCTATTGCAAAATATGCATATTCAAATATTTAGATGGTTTGAGAGCGTAGGGAGACATCATTTACAGTGTTTCATGGGAGTGGGTGAAGCTCTTTTGGTGTGGTTTGCTCATTTGAGTTCGCTGATTGGTGGAGATTTCTCTGTAGAATCATGGGTAATGTTAAAAAACTCTGAATTGAGAGATATAAACTGAATTATGAGATATAAACTCTGAATTAAGAGATATAATATTTAAGAGATGTACTGCGTTAGGCTAACTGAGACTTGCATATCATTGCTCTCTTGTTGATGTTGATTGCTTCCGTTGTCTTCATTTGTAATTAAAAAAAAAAAAAAAATTCTCTCTCTTTATTTATTCCTTCTCTTTCTAGCTTGTACTTATTTGAACAATGTCTAAGAACTTGGTATTACAACCACTTCCTGTGTCTGTTTGCCTCTTTAAGAAGAATCGCTTTATGTATCCCCCAACTGTAAGTCGCTTTGGATAAAAGCGTCTGCTAAATGACTAAATGTAAATGTAAATGTAATGTAGTTTTTCAGTGTGTCACACTGACGCCTACACTCTGAGTGGGAGTGAACCTGAGGGCTTGTTTATATATGGTTAAAAATAATTTCCCCTATAAAGAAAATTAATTCCCCTCTCTTGAATATGAAGAACACATGTATTCAGTTCAAACAGTACTGGAGTATTTTACATTTAGTCATTTAGCAGACGCTTTTATCCAAAGCGACTTACAAATGAAGACAATGGAAGCAATCAACATCAACAAGAGAGCAATGATATGCAAGTCTCAGTTAGCCTAACGCAGTACATCTCTTAAATATTATATCTCTTAATTCAGAGTTTACATCTCATAATTCAGTTTATATCTCTCAATTCTGAGTTTCTATATCATAATTCAGATGATATATCTCATAATTCAGTTTATATCATAATTCATAGTTTATATCTCATAATTCAGTTTTTATATCTCATAATTCAGTTTATATCTCAGTTCAGAGTTTAGATCTCATAATTCAGTTTATATCTCATAATTCAGTTTATATCTCATAATTCAGAGTTTATATATCATAATTCAGATTCTATATATCATAATTCAGATTTTTTAAAATCTCATAGTTTAGAGTTTAGATCTCATAATTCAGTTTATATCTCATAGTTCAGAGTTTAGATCTCATAATTCAGTTTATATCTCATAATTCAGTTTATATCTCACAATTCAGAGTTTATATCTCATAATTCAGAGTTTATATCTCATAATTCAGAGTTTATATCTCATAATTCAGAATTTATATCTCATAATTCAGATTTTATATCTCAATTCATAGTTTATATCTCATAATTCAGTTTATATATCATAATTCCATTTATATCTCATAATTCAGAATTTATATCGCATAATTCAGATTTTATATCTCATAATTAATAGTTTAGATCTCATAATTCAGATTTTATATCTCATAATTCATAGTTTATATCTCATAATTCAGTTTATATATCATAATTCCATTTATATCTCATAATTCAGAATTTATATCGCATAATTCAGATTTTATATCTCATAATTAATAGTTTAGATCTCATAATTCAGATTTTATATCTCATAATTCATAGTTTATATCTCATAATTCAGTTTATATATCATAATTCCATTTATATCTCATAATTCAGAATTTATATCGCATAAATTCAGAGTTTATATCTCATAATTCAGAGTTTATATCTCATAATTCAGTTTATATCTCTCAATTCTGAGTTTCTATATCATAATTCAGATGATATAATAATTCAGATTTTATATCTCATAATTCATAGTTTATATCTCATAATTCAGTTTATATCTCATAATTCAGAATTTATATCTTATAATTCAGATTTTATATCTCATAATTCATAGTTTATATCTCATAATTCAGTTATGAGATATAACACAGATCGAGTTCCTCCAGCAGCACCTTATGCTGTTCTTCATAATAAACAGAAACGCAGGGTTTAAAGAGAGTTTCCTGCTTTGTAATTACTTTTTGGAGGTGTTCATGTGCATTCATCGTAAATATGATCTATCCGACATGAGCTGAATGCACCATATGCCATACACGGATAAACAGTGTGTCTCTGTGCTCAGTATAGAGCACTGACAGCCCAGTATACTAATGCACAGTACTGTGCAGCTGTGAATTACTGTGTGATTATTTACTAATTCAATTATATATATTATTGTAACGTCAAAGAGTCGATCTTTGATTATGCATGACAATGGAAAAAGCTTGGTAACAATTTTTGTTTAGTTCAGGGACCAACTCTCACTGTTAGCTAATTGCTTATTAGCATGCCTATTACGAGCATACTGGTTGTTTATTAGTACTTATAAAGCACATATTAATGCCTTATTCTGCTTGACCATATTCTAGATCCCTTACTCCACACCATACCTAAACTTAACAACTACCTTACTAATTATTAATAAGCAGCAAATTAGGAGGGTATTCGTAGTTAACAGTTAATTAATAGTGAGAATTGGTCCCCAAACTAAAGTGTGACCAAAAGTTTTATTTATTAATTTTTTTCCTAGGAGTATGTGGCGTACAGCCATACAGGACGCATCATCCCGGCGATATGGTTTCGCTATGACCTGAGTCCAATCACAGTGAAATACACCGAGAGGAGACAGCCCTTCTACCGCTTCATCACTACTGTGAGTCACTCTCTATGTTTATAGCTTACTCTCTCTCTGTCTCTCTAAGAAATCAGGAAGGGGGCCAACACTTTTTCACACCACTGTATATATATTGACTCTGTCTCGGTCAGATTTGCGCTATCATCGGCGGGACGTTCACAGTGGCCGGCATCATTGACTCCTGCATATTCACGGCCTCTGAAGCCTGGAAGAAAATCCAGATTGGGAAAATGTCATGAGTACTCATATCTACATACCATGTGTTTTATTTATGCCAGCCAAACCTCTGCACACCCGTCATTACAACCTGACCCACACTAGCCACAACTGGAAAACATTGTCACGCCAGTTCATTTCTCGGTGTGCTCATTTGGATAGACTGGTTTTCATCTCTAAACATTTAATACAATGAATTACAGGGATTTCATTTGGAGGATATAGGTGGTTTCCTTACTTCACTGCCATATTAATTCACCCAAAACTTTAATAGTGGAACTGATGTGGAAAGAACCTGTCTCACTCTCTGGAAGGACGCCAGGGTTTCCTCATTCAAACAGACGTTATTGAGATGTGTAAGTGTATAGTGTTACATACAAGGCATAGTGTCTCTGATTGGTTTAAATAGAATTCCACAAGAGAAATAATAACTGATAAATATATATATATATATATATTTTGCTTTTAATATGTGCAGATTTAAAAAAATTTACTGTATTTTTACAGTGTTGTATTACACTAATGGGAATTATCATCAATGAGAATAATGTCCAGATGCATTATGGTAATGAGAATTTGGGGTTAAATGTATTTAATTATCATGAAAATGTCACAATCCAAACAATTTTAATGTTCCTAAAATTTGATTGATTTTCTTATTTCTTTTGATTTGGGGGTGAACTGTGAGCTGTATGTATTTCAGGAGATGAACCTGAAGGTTTTGAACCTCTTTAACCTGGTCCTTTATTTTAGTTTGATTGAAGGGAAATTCTGAATGTCTTCTTTTTTACCTGAAAGACTCTTGAAGGAATGCTTTTGGTTTATTTCCATGTCTGTAAAGGTACTCTGTGGCTTAATGATACTTTTATTTCCTCAGTGCATAATGTTTATTGGTTAACCTTTTATTGTTTTGAAGTTTAGGCTGGAAACGTGTTGTTAACGTCTTGTCTAGCGTTCCCTCTCAACACGGCTGTAAAGAGGCTGAATAATTTCCTGTCAGTGTTTTGACCATGTTCCAAAATCTGGTTGAACTGGTTACACAGGACTGTTCCACATGAAAGCAAGCTATGCGTCAAACGTGCGATGCGTCGTTGCCACAAGTTGACATGACAAGAGAAGTGTGTTTTCACTTCATTTAATGAGAACAGAAACCACAACCTACATTTCAGCTTCGCGGCACAACTACTTGGATATGTCAGTCTTTTAGAACCTTTAAAGTTATTTAAATCAAACAAACCATGACTGTTGAGTTTCCGTGCTCGTTTCAATGGTTATAATTTAGCCCTACTTGATCATTTAGTCACATGGATGTCAACTTCTGGGCTACGCCACATTTTTCTGTCTTTGTTTACCATGGTTAGAATAAACCACAGCAACAGCCGGTTTGTTTGTTTGTGTTTGAATGTCTTTTCAAAATTCAGATTTTTTACCATAATGTTAAAAATGTATCAAAATAAACATTATGGAGCCATTTAACACAAGACTCGATCTTAATTAGGTTATTAAATGAGTACTTTGAGTTTATTGTCTTTAATAATAATTTCTACTGATAAAAATATATAATACATGTTTCCATAAAATTATTATTAAAATATAGCAATGTAGTTGAATAATATTATATTACGCAGTATTGTAAAATTTGTCAATTTTAAAAATATTTTACATCAAATGCCACTTTATAAATTGAAAAAATAAAAAATAAATCAGTCAAAAGATGATATAGTCCTTTATTTAATTTTTTTCCTCCATCCTGGTTCTTTTCTCTTTTTTTGTACAAATAAAAAGAAGTTTACTCTTTATATAAAGATATATGTAACTAAGGCGATAAAATACTTTTTTTGTTTCAAATGGACATAATGGTGCCACCCAGTGGCTGCTAAGAGAACTTTACAAAGCTAGACTTCAGCTCAGTTAGTTGTGAGGGGGCGGGGCCTGGTTACGATTGGCCAATCAGTGCTGTTACAGGTTGGAGGTTGCCGGGCAGGCTCCCTGGTATATGGCCTGATCCGACAAGGAGAAGAAGTCACTGACGCCCTCCTCCGACAGCTGGCCGTACTCGTTGTTGTAGAAGGTTTGGCCCGAGAGTTGGCTGAAGAAGGGTGGGCGCAGTGTGCTGCTGCTGCTCATGGACGGAGAACTGATAAGGTGTTCTGTGCTGTGGCCCTCCGATGGACTACAGAGTTTACACAATGCTTAATGCAACTCCAGAGTATGAAAACGAAACCATTATAAATGAAGTGAGCCATAGTCATTTTTCTAATGATAAATGGTGTGCATAATCTTGTTTCACCTACTTTTTCAACATGGCCCCTCTGTGCTTGTGTTCAAACCTCTCGAGCTCATCTGATGCCAAAACCATCCCACTGTCTGTCTGGCTGTCCTAAAGGGACACAAAAATGTATGAAACAATATACATGTTAACATTCTTCAGCTTATAAAAACTATACATATATTGGAGGTCTTAGTCGTACCTGATGTGTCTTGTGTGATGTCATTTCCAGAGGAAGTTCCTCAAAGGTCTTCACTCGTGAGTGGCACGTGCTGGAGGGTCCGACCATGATGCAGCCAGTGAAAGGCACGCAGTTGTAATATCTGGGCAGAGAGAAGCATATATATTCAACAAAGGGGCATAAGTACAGTGGAAAGTCCAGCACAGTCCTGTTATGTGGTTCCTAAGGTGTTCTGACTGGTTGCTAGGTGGTTGTGACTAATATTTTAGTCTTGAGAGATGAAGATATCATTCAATGTAAATATGTGTTTTAGTTTTTTTTTTGGTCTCATTGTCCACCATGTAAAAATCTAAGTCTGATTGTTTAGAAAGACAATAGCACACCTCTCCTTGATAAGACACATGATTTATCATAGACATAAGATATTTTTCATACTAAGGGTTATAGGCTTATTCAAATCCCTAATCCAACATACTACAAGCATTAGCAAACACTACAAACATTTATTTAACCCTATTAAACCTACTGTATCATATTTGATGTACATTAATTTCTAAGGCCTCTAATTATTAACATGATCAAAACTTTGCTTGAAAAATCTGTTGTACACAATCTACTACATGCCATCTGTTGTTGATAGGTTATACTGAGCAAGTAAAAGCTAGCAGAACACTAAAAACATCCCCCTTCAGGTCGTAGTACACATCAATATTTTTGTACAAATTTAGGTCAGGTACATTTTAGAACTTCTATTATTAATTATTAAACATTGGTATAGTACAGACAAGTTTGTAATAAATTTGCATGTTTTTTTTAATTTTTTTTTAAGATATTTTGCTTTTGCAAGGATGGGAACATTCTAGAAGTTTCTGTAACATTCTGTAATCCTCTAGTGCAGGGATCCTCAAATCTGGCCCACGAGATCCACTTTCCTGCAGAGTTTAGCTCCAACCCTAATCAAACACACCTGAGCATGCTAATCAATGTCTTCAGGATCATTAGAAAATCACAGGTAGGTGAGTTTGATCAGGGTTGGAGCTAAACTCTGCAGCGCATTGGCCTCCAGGGCAAGATTTGAGGAACCCTGCTCTAGTGCTTTCTGGAACATTCCAGAACATTGTGGGACTAGTCATAAAATACAAAAATCATCCAGTGTACACTTTTGAAGTTTTGGATGACTCACTGTTTATGTTAAACTGTTATTAGCGTACTATTATGCATGTACCATATCATTTTTATGCTTGAGTAATAACAGATTAGCTTGTATAAGTTGTCAGCATTTGTTTTTAGTTTTCATGAACACTGTTAATGATACACAAAAAGTAATGTGATTTTTCCCCCACAATAAAAACTACAGAGCATTGATAATTAACCTGAGCATTTAAATATCATCTTACTAAGACATATTATTGGGAGATAGGAGATATAGAGTGACAACTGATATTTATATGCATTTTATGTAAGACGTCTGCTATAGAGCTATAAAGATCTCACTGATTTACATTGCAAGCTTTCAGAATTTCATAAATATCAGCAAGAATTTCACAAATATCAACAAGAGCCCCAAATCGCAAATTTTTAGTTTTTTTGGATGTCTGAATAAAATTGATGTTTTTTTCCTCCTTGAGTGTGAGGTATTTTTCTGACTTATTTCATATGTCAGGCTTTACAGGGTTAAGAACACTGGAAGTCAATATAAGGCCCCCAACACTGCTATAAAATGTGTATGTACCGAGTGGACATTGTGTTGCAGGCGAGTCTGATCTCCTCTTGTGATGGTTGTCTAGAGGAAGCTTGTGAGAAGCCATCATCCTCTGAGCTCTGAGACACATTGAACGGGATTTCCTAAAAAAAAACAATACATTTCACATAATCATTAAAATATACACCATTAGCCATTCTATCAGTTTTATAACCAGCTGACTTGAAATATAAAGAAGGTAGTGTACAGAATGTACAGAATCTCATAAGTTTTTTTCCCTCACGGGTAGACTGTTTTCCTGAAGTAGATCTCCAAGTGTCTCCACCAGAGCTGGAAACGTGGGTCTCTCCCTGGGCTCGCCCTGCCAGCAGGCCAGCATGATGCCATATCTAGCAGAACACATATCACACATCAGAGCGCTCAGAGTTTCATCACTGTATGATGCCATCAGTCTGATTAGCAGCCTTAAGTAGATCAAACACACACAGACACAGTCATCAGGCCAATGCTCACATTTCAGGGGACGCATTGTCTGGTGCCCTCATCCTGGTACCGTCTTTAAGTCGTTTGCAGAAGTCTTCGTCAATCTGGATGCTGGGGTATGGAGATGCTCCTAATGGGACATGATTCAATCAAGTCTGTAAGTCTGTGATCAAACTCTATACACGTTTAAGAAAATTTAGAACAGAACAAAATTAATTTGTAGGGTAACACTTTATTTGAAGGATCAATAATAATAATAATCATATATATATATATATATATATATATATATATAAAAAAAGCAGCGGGCCAAATCAGCTGCTGATGGCCAGTCCGCGCCTGATTTCCACCAGAGACAAGCAGAACGTGAA